ATATAAAATAAATTATATAATAATATAATTCATTATAAATTTATAATATAAAATGATATTATAATTATAAAATTTTCGTTTGGGATTGGATGGTGATGGGTGATGACGTTTGGTAATGTTTTACTACTATTCAATGGCCCAATTCAAGGCCTAATTCATTGGTTGGTGTTATAAGCCCAAAACCAAACATGTGATGTCATGTTAGATAAGAATCACTATGGACTGTAAAAATGAAGTCTGAGTGGAGAAGTAAGGAACATTCAAATCGGGTCAGCTTTTTTGCTGCCTCAAAAGCAATATAAGAAACCAAAGGAAAAATGAAACGAGCTCAAACCAGACCAGACGGTACTGTCTTAACACTTGTAGATTCTCCAAAGTCCACATAGTCCCAAGTCTCTACCCTCCTTACTTTTAAACAAGAGTCAGACGGCAGAGCACTACAATACACAGGCTACCAAGTCTATACACAACCAAAAGTACAGGCGATGGCAGTCATCACAGCCCTACTATATACAGGCCTAATAATATATTTTTATCCCTCAAACTTCACTTCTTTTTTTTTTTTTGTAAAGCCTCAAACTTCACTTTCAATGTATTAAAGTTATAACTGCCATGCATTGAATTGAAAACCCAATTAAATACTCAAAGAAAAAAATGTCCCAGATCCCAATTTCAAGTCAATATTTTTCCCTTCCTTGCAAAAATTCCCAGCATTTAAGTTGGTTTTGCTTTGTCCGTCAGAAACCAGAACCAGAATGGCAGGTGAAGGTTGACAGGTAAAAAGCTAGACTCTGAAATGCTTTTCGATAGGAGGATATAATAGTTACGAAATGATGAGTTGTTTACTTTATTTTTGTTCAGTTGATGCGCAACATTAATTCACCCATTCCATTTTCAAATTCCATTGAATCTGATTAAAAGTTGGAACTTAATATCTTTTGATTTAAAAATCTAAATTTTTTACCAATTCAGACACCCATTTGATATGAAAGATTAATATCGAACAACAAAAGATGTTGGAGATTAGAACTTAGAAGTAAAGATAGAGATGGAGAAATTACAGCTGTTACATCTAATCTTGTCTTTACAACAAGTACCTATTGGAGGAGATTCAAGAGCTGTACCATCACCAACGTGTCTACCAAGAAAACCCACCAAAGCCCTATGAGATCACAGTTCGAGAATCCCAAAGAGACCATAAAATGGGAATTCTGATTCAAATTCCCATCATCACCCAACTTGGTTCTGGAATTTGGTTCAAGCAAAGTTACTTCTTCTTGGCATGGCTTGACACCATATGGAGCATGACTACTTGTCATTAAGGAAACAGGGTAGCAGAGATTTGGATTGTTCCAAGCCCCAAAACGACTCCCCATTTTCCCATAAAAGTCCCCGGGGAATTTAAGTTCTCCTGTCAGATTATTTCCATTCAGATAAAGAGCACTGATACTAGCCAAAGACGCCAGCTTCGGTGATAGATTGCCTGTGAGACTGTTGTTACTTAGACCCAAAAACCTCAGTTTGGTTAACCCAACAATGGATTCAGGGACTTCACCTGTTACGCCCACATTGGAGACATCCAGAATAACCAAATTCTGTAGCCTGTTCCAATCCAGGCTCATTAGGTTCCCTCCTAATGGGTTGTTGGATAGCACCAATTCCTCCAGAGAATGCATTTCTTGAAGAGTCTGTGTCAACCCACCTGAAAACATGTTGTATCTCAAATCCAAAAGGGTCAGATTCTTTAGATTCCCTATCTCTTCAGGCAGCTTTCCTTGTAGTTGATTATTACTTAAATCAAGCTTCAAGAGTGAACTCATCCCTCCTAAAGTCACAGGCAGGGGCCCAGAAAGTGAATTTCTGCTCAAATCCAAGATCAACAGCTCTGTTAACATTCCAAGACTACCTGGAACTTGACCGGAAAACCAGTTACCGGCCAGGACTAGCCGCTTTAAGTTAGTCAAGTTGCCAATATTTTCCGGTATCTCCCCTGTTAACCCATTCTCAAGTAGGACTAGAGATTGAAGCTTGGTGAGGTAACCAAAGCTAGTAGGAACTTGTCCCAGCAAACCCGGGTTTGATCTGAACTCCAATGATTCCAGGCTGCCAGATAGTTTTTCCCAGTTGCCGGAGGGGATGGATACTGGAGTTCTCCGGGGAGAGGTGAAGCAATTGAAAAGAGTGAGAGACTTCAGGTGCTTTAGCTCAAACAACTGTGGCCTAAACTCCACTTTAGTCGCACATTCAAGAGAGTTATCATGAACAGGTCCAATGCTCAAATCAGTGACATACCAAAACCCATCAAAAATATCACAGGAAACCCCCTGTAGAAGAAAATAAAAAAAATGGAATTTTAAGTACTTACAATCCATATATGTTCCTGAAAGGAAACGGCAAAACTTGAAGAAGAGAGTTTTATTGGGTATTCGTGTTTGGCAATGGAACAGTATAGATTCATTCAAAGGAGAGTAAAAAACCTGAAAAGTACCTGAATGGGAGTCCAGCCACAAGGATCTGGATAGAGATCCGAGCCATTCCACCAATTACCCACAAAACCTTGAATGGCAGAGTACAGAGCTGCTTGCTCGGCTTTCTCCATTTGAGCTGCATCATACTCTGCTTGTCCGTAGCAAAAAACACCCAGGGACAAAATGCAAACAGCCAAAGTGAAATGATTGCTCGGGATCCCAGTAAAAACCCTCATGGCTAAGTTCGAGTTGAGTCCCTCGCCCTAAAGAAAGAAGCAGGAAACACCTTCTGGTTTCTGAAGGTTGGCTCAAATGGAGATGATGAACATGTTGAAAATGATGGGATTTTAATATAGAGCAGTGGGCTTTCGCAGTGAAGGAGCCAAAATAAGATAAAGAACAGATTCAAGAGAGGCAAAGGTAAGACTTCAAACCCATAAACATGGTTTTGGACATTCTAGAAATCTCAAGATACAGAGAAGGAAGGATGAATAAAATGAGAAAGGAAAATGGAGAGAACAGAGGAAACAGAGCTAAGAAACTTTGAGCAGATTGCTTCATATGTGCCACAGAAAGGCTGAGGAAGTATATAGTAGCAGAGCAGGGAACACAAGATCTAGGCACAGCTCTCAAAACCAAGTAATAATAGTAATGACGCGGCAGTAAGGGAACTGAATTGGGCTTTGAGCAGTGAAAAGGAAAGGAAGGGTGACTATGTATACGGCTCTGTTCTTCTGAACCATCTTTCAACCCTTATATACCGTGGACTCTTGGAAGATTGATTATTTTTGGGGTTGAATTCAATTTTTAGGTTACTAACTATTAGTTTAATTTTATTTTATTTTAAAAAATTTATTTTTTTAAATAGTTTATAAACTTTAGAAAATATTTTTAGTTAGAATTTGTAATAAATTTTAATTAGTTTAATTTAAACAAAAAAATTTAGTAAGTTTAAAACAAAAAATTTTAAGAATAAGTATGTTTCACAAGACAGATAGTATGTAATCTGTTCTGTAAAATTATTTAAATATCTTTAAAAAATAATATAAAAATAAAATTAAGAGTATTTAAATAATTTTACAGAACGGATGTATATAGTCCTCTCTATAAAATAGTTTTTTGAGAATACATTTAGTAAGATAAGAATAAAAACTATTTTTACAATGAATATAAATTTAAAGACTAAAAGATCATAAAAAATATAATTAGAGGATTAAATATTTTCTAAGAATAAGAATATTGTGTTAAAGATAACAGATATTTATGTTAAAGATAATGGACTAAATGAAATTGAAATAATTATGAAAAATAATAGACAGATTAAAAAAATTCAAAGATAATAAATGAAACTGAAAAAAAATGTGAAAGTTAATAGATGATTTATTAAATTAACCATTATT